GAGGATGGTTGTTAGGAGCGAAGTATCTTAGAGCTGTCATATGAAACTAACCTGGGTGTTTTGTGTGAGACATAGTAGAGATGATGTAAGACCATGAGTAATGTCTTCTTTCCTCAAAGGAATCTCTCATGCTAGACTTCAGACTGCCCTGGTTCTCACAGGGAGTTTACACCCCGTCCTGAATGGTTACCTCCATGCCTTTTACTTTTTGTAGCACTTTGTGACCCATCTATAAGGGTGTGCTAAGAATGCATCGTAAATGTTTTAGTTCACTCAAAGAATCGCTGGCAAAGGTAGCAGCAAAAGCAGGTTTAAAATTAAATGAAAGACAAACTTTGTTGGCAAAGTTCACTCTACTACTTACTAGGTAGTTAAAGCACACAGAGAAGAAAACTGACTAAAATCAATCAATCTAAAACTAAACCAACTTAAAATTATCTTCCTGGAAGCCTGGGGAATAGAAAAATGGGTAAGAATAGAAAAAGACAGAGTAAGGATGAAAAGGACTAAGGGAGACCCTCCCCTTGAGTCATAAGGCTCATGTGACCTCCCCTTGTCAAACATAGTCCTGGATTTGACCAACAGTTTAGGCCTCAAGATTTTAACTGCACTTAATCCATAGCCTAATTAATTTAAATAAGTCAACATAAGATTCTATTGAACTTACTATAAGCACAACAGTAGCTCATTTACAGGCCTAACTTACAAATATTTAACATACTTAAGAATCTAAGACAGTAAACTTTATAGTATATATACTATAGCATAGTCACACACATGACCTAAGGGACTGCGTATGAGGTGTATGTACCACCCACTGTGAAGGGATTTCAGTCCTAGCTCAACTGATGTGAGTGTGAACTGCCAGAGTGGCTCCTGAATGTCCAGACAGGAAAGTTTCCTTAACAAACATCTCCTGGCTTTCCTTTCTATAGTATTCAGGGGTTTCTGCCCACATAAGCCTGTTCTGGGGATGGTAACTGTGCAACTTTTAAAGTGCAACTGATTGATTCTTGCTGAGCACTGATTGATTGCAGTAGCTGCTTTGTGATGCTGTAGCTGAGAAACTGACAAAAGATGAATTTGAGTGACAAATCTTCTTGTTGCAGAGTGAAAGAGCTCAGCCCTCATGATGGAGGTAGTGAAACTCAGAATCAAATGGAGACTGAGGAGATTGAGACCAGTACAGAAGGCTCAGGTCTTGAATTCAATGTATGTGTGTGCAGTGGCTAAACAGAACTCAAAAGCTGGGAACAACTTGTTGTTCTTACCTGGGCTGTTTCTTGCAGCTCTCCAAGGATGAGGAAGAGGAACTCTCTCCCCACATGTTCAGCTATCGAGAGGTTATGGCTCAAATTAGTGAACGGGAGGAGAAGGTTATAGAACAGCTCAGAGAACTGAGACAGGTATGGGAAACAGCAAACCCAGCTCAGGCCACCTTCTATATGTTGATAGCGGCTTGCTTTGTCTGAGCCAAGTGCTGCTGGGGCAGCAATGCAAGATGCTGTACCAGTGGTGTTACTTTTTCCTCACTGCCAACTTTTCCCTGTCTTTTCTGGCCCAGCTGGTTAAACTGGGGCATTCCACTGTTTTTGCCAGTTCCCTTTCCCCTCCAAATAACCTCTACTTGCTGCTAATGAGCACTGACTGCTCCTGGTCTGTAGAAGCTCAGCCATGTTGATTAGACTGCCAGATTTGAAGAAACTAACTGAATTTCCAGGAAGTCCGTTTCTAATCACTGTTATCCTTGTAAATACAGAGAATGACTACTGAACTTGACTACCTCTTGGGAATCACAGAGAAGCCAGATTATGATCTTGAGACCTTTGTGAGCAGAGCTAAGTACTTTGTGGAGGACAGCTCAAGAAATTTCCTCAGTGTCAGAGGTATGTTAGAGCCTATATCTGACTATGACTGTCACTAATGCTTTTCCGAAGACCTGGAAGTAACACCAGCATACCTGTGGGGGTTTGAGCACCCAGTCCTGCGTAGCTCTGAGGTCTTCTGAGAGCGACGGCTGGACTGGAGAGTTGATCAGTCGCCCTGTTGTTTTTACCTTTCTTTACAGAAACACTGGATGCCCTGGGAACTGCCATGCAACTGGAGGAGCAAGCCAGCAAGCAGATAAGCCAGCAGAGGCCTTAGTCATTATAGCAAAACCTGGTTCACAAGCAATGTTGCATGCACTTGTCTTGTCTTGCATGTTTGTCAGTGGTTTGTATGACTCCTGTTTTAAATGTTGTAGGGTATCTGCAGGTCATATGCCCAAGGGCAGTGAACACAGCAGTCTTTTTCTTCATAGCCTGAATCAGGGTACTCAGAAAAGTGCTAAAATGCACCTACTGCAAGGCTTGGGTAGGGGGCCTGAGAGTCTGCAGTCTGCCTGAGATATTTGGCATTTGGCCCTTTGCTAGTGACACTGGTCTCCCCTAAGAGAACTAAATACATATGTATAGGTTATGTATACACATAACCTTTTCCAGATATGCTTAAAACATTGCAAAACTGTTGAAGGTTTTGCTTTTATAGAAAGAGAATGGACTATGTGATTGTTAAAACCAGTATTTTAAGAAGTTGAATAAATAAATGCTCTTGGATCTCATTATCTTATCTGTCCTATAAAAAATATTTCTTCCTGATTTTGGTAAAGTTTAACAGCTCCTAAAGACTGGCTGGTTGTTGGTAGGGAGGCTGTTTTCTTGGATGAAGTTTCTTTTCAAAGTCTTTATATTGTAATGTTTACATAAAAATCACTCAAAATATGTTTTGTCTCTTAATTTTGAGATGCTGCTGGGAACTCCTAACGCGGGAAGCTGGCTTAGGTGTAGCTATCTGCTCCCATGGCCCTTGTGTGCAGCCTGGGTCCAGATTGCCCTGCAGACCTTTCCTTTGGGAAAGAGCAGGTTAGGGGAGGAGCAGTTGTAAGGCATTTGCTCTTTCTCATTTATTCAGCTCAGTTCAGCATTTGTCCTCAAAAGCACAAAATAGTTGTGAGCAATAGGTTCAGCAACACAGGATGCAGGTATCCAAACATCAGATCACAAAGGGACCCTCTACCATTACTCCTTCTTTTCTTATAGCTACCTTCTCCCTTTGAAAGTCAAGGGTGTAATTTAAGTGACAGAGCCCCACCCCAGCTCTGCATCTGCCATCTGTGGACTGCATCCTTGCTGTATGTCTGGAGATGCCAACTAACTTGAAGGCCAGTTACTCAACCTGGGCTGGATCAATTGTGTGCTATGTTTCAGGGCTGGCCTGGAACAGACAGCAAAAGAGCTAGGGATCTTTGAGGGATGTAAGCAAACATCAGTCACAAGCATTTAAAGAAGGGATACTTCAACCCAGGCATGGTCCTTCTCCACAGCTGGGGCACTTTGTGCTCAACGTCTTAGGTTCTGGGAGCATACTGGGGCTGAGTGCTCTGAGGGTTTCTGAAGTGTGGAAGCTGACTTGGACCTGGGCTCTGCCTGCATCACACTAAGATGGCACAGCCAGAGCAGAAGGGCTGTTATGCCCTACTACGTTTGGACAAAAGCAAGACAATCCTGTTCTACTTCAGGTGTTAGTACTCTTGGATTATCTAGCCTTTCCCTGTGTAAGGAATAAAGTATTGCCACTACCTTCCCTCTGTGCCTAACATTGCTTATTTTCCCTTTATCCACCTTAGGAGTTAGAGACCTGATCTGCAGGCCATCAGCTCCTACCCTGGAAAATGCTGTGTTCCTGTCCTGGCCTAGTAGCAGCAACAGACAAAGTAAACAAGAAGTGTTCAGCTGTGCATAGATTAACAATCATTTAAGACTGGGGCTTGCTGAGAACTGACTGTTCTTCCTGGTCTGTATTAAAGTCTTGCAAATTTCTTGTGTGACCATAAAAAGCCTAGGACTCAAACATTACCACCCGTACTTCTGAGAGGGTGTCACTGGAAAACTCCTCAGGTTTGCTTCCCTACTCACCAAACATTTTCTGTCCTCTGCTTTTGCAGAAAAGGTGTTCTGACAGCACTATCTTGTGGACACAGCAGGAAATTAATACTGAATAAACCAATTTTAGTGCAAATGGCTGAATTTCTTTAAGGATTGAGTGCACAATCATAGGCACTAGCTTTTTCCAGTGGGTGGCTGATGTTATAAAATGGTGCTTCACTGCTGGCTGTAGCTCCTAGCTGTGTGGAGAATGCAGTGGCCATGAACAATGCAGTACCTTTCAGGCCTGTGCAGAACATACGTTGCTTCAAGCCCCAGCCATCAAGGGTGACAATACACAAAACCAGTGCAGATTTCACATCTCCCTGTGACTGAAATTTCAAGCCAGCTCCAGTGGCAGTAGAAGGGAGGGTCTGAGTACTACCTGCAGGCAGCGATTCTGCCTCATTCCCAAACACACCCATCTCCAGGGCTGGAGACTTGTCAGAGCTGGGATACTCAGCGAAGAGGTGTGCCAGAGCTGAATGGGTGAATCTTTCCTGGGAGGAGTGTGTCCAAGTCCTTGCCTACTGAAAGGAAGCCATTTCTCCAAGGCTCTTTTTATGGTCCTGTAAATTCTGCTCCAGTTTCTTACTCAATGGCTTTTGTGGCAGCTGCTAATTAAACATACTCTCTCAGCCAAAATGTGTCTGTGTATGTGGACCACTAGGAAGGAAAGAATGATGCTTTGCTAACTTCTGAGATATTAGAGGTGGAGTTATGCTGCTAGCATGAAAGGAGGATGGATGTAGTGTATGCTGTGTGTATGTATAATGATCTATGCACATGCATGTGCCGCTATGCTCAGGCAACCTGGGCTACTGTGGCCTGCGCTGCTGAGCTGGGACAGGAAACACCCAGCACTGGAACTGTTCACCATCCTCACCCAGCAGCCCTCAGCACATCTCTGGAGGCCTGCAGGGTAGCATTAATGCTAGAGGCAGCCCCTGCCTGGAGCCGGGCAGCCTTTGCTGCTGCACCCCTCGCCTCAGGGGACAGCCCCCTGCTCCTCCCCTAACCTGTGAAGGTGACGGCTGAGCCCTGCAGGTGCTGACGGACCCTGAGTGAAAGACCCTGCTTGTCGCTCTGGAAGGCCACCCGGGGGCAAAGGTAGCGCACTCTAAAAAGTGTACACACAATAAGGTATAACAACCCCCTGCAAACCCTGCCGGCCTTAGCTCAATTGCAGCATTTGTAAGCTCTATTTTTAACCCAAGAAATTGTAGCTCCACCGAAGTGGAGCCTCAAAAAATTTCTCGACACTCGTGCCTGTTCCTCTCCACGGAAATCTTTAGTAAAAGGCGAAAGATTTATACGATCTGAAGAGAAACCAGAGTATAACACTGCCTCCCCTCGCCGACATACCCACCGACTGCTCTGCCCCCACACACGGAGGGCGACGCTCGC